TGGGCGATTGTCTGAATTGCCCCTGTCATGTCCCGTCATTTCGGACGTTTTAGGACATTTCCTGAGGTATTTCATGTATTTTCAGTCATGTTTCCCTCTTTTCTTGCTTTTTGTGAGCTTTCCTTCTTTTCTATTTGAAAACTTTCACTTTCCCGCGTGTGGCGGTACTTTTGAATGCCTTTCAATTAAAAAGACCCTTGTCCGACATTTTCAGCAATATTTCTACTGAGGTGGCGCCATCTAGTGACATTTTCCACCAGTCCATTTTCTTATCAGTTGGCAAAGAAAGTTTCTACTTTACCGACTGCCGTCCAACTGTGGTGGTTTACCGGCAGTGTTTAATTTATCGGGGAGACGCTGATGGCGCCTACTACCCGATTTTCATGCAAGTGCGGATATCAATTTTTGTTTTGGGGCGTTCGCCCCTTTCCTTCGTCGGTTGTACACTTTTGTGGGCTCACCGACGTACCTTTATCCTGGTCATATTTCAAGCCGAGGATTTTCCTCACATTTTTGGGAAAAAAAAGTCCCCAAAAAATCATCCGTGGAGTTTTTCACCCCACTTGCCTCGGGGCATTCCTCCATGGCCTCTTCCTCTGCCTTTCCCCTAGCTTCGGAGGGGATTGTACCCTCCTTGTTTGCCTCCTCCATCCGCCGTACACAGTAGGGCTCTTCCGCCTCGGTCAACGCCCGATCTGTAAGAGAAAGGGTCGTTAAATCTAATGTGGCGGTTTCTTCAGTGCCTTGCGGCAATGATGAGCCGTCCACGTTCTTCCCCTTCAGGCTTTTGCACCCTAGAGGTTAACTTCGGACTCCGGAGAGTCCGAGTTACCTCTTTGGGCTCTCTCGGCGGTTTTCACCACCATCAGCACCAAACCGTCCAAGATCCCGTCTTGCATCACTCATGGGTATTCCACCACGTGCACAAACTTTTTTCCTTTACTCTCCGCGGAGCGTCAAGAAATTTTACGTCTTGTCGCCTACGCGGTCAAAACGGAAAAGGACGCTCCTCGTGGTCATCTCCCCCAATTCCACAGGTGTTGGGGGTGGGGGGATTAGGACGCGTATCAATTAGATTAATCGCCACCGGTGGTCCCCCCTAGTGACCTGAACTCCGACCTAAATTTACATTTTTAGGCGGTCCTTTGGAATACCTTTGATTGACATCAATCAGAGGCGTACAATTTCGTCCTTCGCGCGGATTGACCGTCGCGTGGCGCGCCCTCGCGGGCGGAATCCGTACCACCTACACCTGCAGTCGGTAATGCTATTCTTTTCCAGAATAGTCTTCTTTACCGGGCATCGGTAAATGCGTCTTTCAACATTTTGGCATATTTGCGAGAGGAAAATTCAAATTTTCAGAATTCTCACCGTTTTTCACTCATTTCTTCCGATTTATCGGCCGGGAAAAGTCCCCCCCCGGATCTAAAGTCATTCTCCCCCGGGTGACGAGGAAAACAGTGCTCAAAGGCAAACCGCTCTCCAGCGAAAAATCGATAATTACGCATTTCCGTCGGGGAAAATAAACTCGTCCTCTCAAGGTCATCTCTCCCGGGTGTCGAGGAGACAAAACATCGAGGTTCTGAGAAAATCTCCCCACGACCGAAATTTCGTGCCTTTTGAATTCTATTTTCCCCTTTTCAAGGAATAACTAAAATTTGTTACTGTCGACGAAAATCAATTTCTCGATATTCCTCACATTATCTATGCGATAATTTCCTTCTTACCCTTTTCAGGGTTTTCTTTTACTCCATTTGCGTGGCCCCAAATTGGGTGCCATTTTGTAAGGATATTTTCCCGGGTTGTTCACCCAGGAAAAATCGAAACTACTTTTTAGCCGTCTCTCTCGCTCGACAATTGGGCGCCAGACGAACCTTCACGGAAGGTTCGACGAAAACCGGCCTCTGAGGCAAACTCGTCTACTCAGAGGACTTCTATGGCTGGGCAAATGGTTGCCTAGCTAGCCTTAGTGTGACACGGTAGAGTGGGCGAGGTCCACCAGGAGTATCGAATGCCAAACGTCACCAGCCACTATTCCAGGCTGGAAATTAAGCCCTACGGCCTAATTATCATTGTAAATTAAATTTACACTCATCCTCGAGGTTTTTCACGCTCTCAGTAGACTTTCTCCTCCCGAGTATTTCGACTCGGGAGTGTTTTAGAGCTAAATGCGAATCAGCCGGGAATCCTCAGAGCCTGGGACGCCGAGAGGCTGGTCTGACCTGTGTTTTGATTCAATCGCCCACCAATCCCTTGGCTATCTTCCAAGCCAGCAACACAGTATACGCCGGAAAAATCCTGGCGACTTCCCCGCTTGAGCGTCCGCGTTCGACTCACTCAGAATCTTACCAGGGCCTTCTCTCCCTAGTCTAAACATCTCAGCGACGATAGATTATTCCGTTACCCTATCCCGACCAATTAACCCGACGGGATTCCGGGGCCACCAGTCCTCTCACCTGGCCGTTGGTCCCTAGTCTACTCTGCCATAGCCTTTAGAATCGCCCTGTTGGACAGCCTGTACATCGGCCCGTTTTCCCCTAGCACAAGCTAGGCGAATTCCGAAATAGCGAAAGTCTAGTAGCACCCTCCAGACCTCCAGGGGTCGCGGTTTCACCCATAACTGCTATACCTTCGGTCTTTCACTGGTCTGTGGTTCATCTCATCTAGTCCTGGCTTTCTTCAGCCGCCTCTAGATGTCACTACCTGTCTCTTTTCAATCATTTTAAGAGTTCATATATCTTTTTAAGGGGATTTCAACCCGTAAAAAGGAAATCTTGTTACAATTCATACGAAGTTTATTTGAATAAAAAACAATTGTTGTAGATGTTGTTGGAAGTTTTCGGGGGATGAGACGGTCTTGTATGAGGGATATGAGCAGCGGGAGTTTCAGCGATGGGTTGGTTGTAGATAAGTTGACGATAGGGAATGTGTTGAAAAGTGGCTCCAGCTACTGGTCCTCGTTACGGTAACACCTCTCCTTATTACGGGATAGTGATGTTATTGGACAATTCATCATTAAATTTCATTATGGGGACATGCCATTATTGATAATTTGTTATAGGGGCAAGTCATCATTGGGACAATTTATAATGTGGACATTTCATCATTTTTCGTTTGTCGTTTTTCCTATTAATTATTTGAAGGCACTTGATCGATCATTGAATGAGTATTTTAACAATAAGTATTATAAGTTTAATTTTTTTGTAGGCATTTGATGACTGATTTTTAATTTTTTTTATTTCATTCCGTTTGTACACAATTTGGAGTCTCTTATACGCTCTCTATACTTTCCGTTCGAACTTCTATTTTTTCCCCTCTCTTATCAGTACTTATTTCCCTTTTCTCCCTCTTCCCCCCCATTAGTCTATAATTTAAAATCTCTTTTTCGCTCCTTATTGAATTGCCCGTGTGATGAAATGTTCGCATGATGTATTGTCCACATGATGAATTTATCGGATGATGAGATGAGCTGTGATGAATTGTCCTGTAATAAAATGGAATGATGAATTGTCCATTGTTAAAGAGAGGTAGATTCCCTCGTTACCTGTACTACGTTCTACCTCCTTACCATTAACCTACATTACCATGTTACTTGATAAACTATGTTACCATATAGCGATACTGTTAAGATGGAGACGAGACCGTGCGCATGCGCAGCTCTCGTCTCGACACGTTGAGGCGTGGGGTGGCTCATTCGTGTTCCACAACAACTAGACGCAGGACGAGTCTGACGTGTGCATTAATAAACCTTCGTTAATCTACAACTGTGTTATACTTATTGTGTTCTATCTCCTAACCATCTATCAGGTTATGGGCCCAGGCACGCTTCCACTGTGCAGTGAAACAAAAAAAAAATAAAAAGGAAAAGTGATGTCGGACGTGGAATTAAGTAAGTAAAGAATATCCAATTAAAATTAAGGGATTGCATCATCTCGGTGGGAACAACGGGGAGACCGAGCACAAAAATGGCCGACATCCGTGGAATACTGACGCGTCCGAAATAATTTAATCTAGAAGCTGAAATTGGAGATTATTATTTTAAATAAATAAAAAGGGCAAATGAAGTATCAAAAAAAAAACAATAATAATCTAGTTTTTCGTGAATTCGGGATGAATTGAAGGAATAGCGGAATTCTAAAGAATTAATAAATTTCTAAGGGAACTAGATGCGGGACGCGTAATAAAGGGGGGTTTGGTTGATGCGGTGAGTGCGTCGCCGGCATGGCGCGCGCGCAGTAATATATAAAATAGAAACCGCTGGAATGGAGACGCGCATTAACACATAAAAATAATTCTCATGCATGAGTGGATGAGTCCCAACCAAACCCGACGAGGAAAATAAATTAATAACGAGAAATTCTCCACTGGTTGGAAATCGAAATCCAATTCGTAAATAATTAATAATTATCACAGGTGACGACCTGGGGAAGTTGTGGGAAACCCTCACTTCAATATTTGGATTTGATGACTTCCACAGAGGAGAGGACGTAGTCCTAGAAGTGGTGGATGAGTCATTGTTAAATACAAGCTTGGTGAGTCACAAATGAAAAGGGCTCGGTGAGAGGTCTGGATGAGAAATAACTGAGAAATGCATGCGATTGAGTGCTAGTGAAGATATTGTCTAGCAAATATCAACACATTTAATTTAGCACCAATAATTCAAATAAAATACTAGTTATAAAATAAAAATATATATATATATATATTTATGAATATAGATTCTTAATTATATCCGGAATCGGGATGTTCCACCAAGTTGATTGGCGGAGGAAAATTGATCAATGATCAATTGATCAAATTGTTCAATATCAGAAACTAATCGACTTTTTGAGCACAAATTAGTCTTTGTGTACAATTCTCATTTGTGTTCAAAGCTCTAATGCCAGTAAATTTGAGTACGATAACTGGCAGCGGAGCAAAGGATATAACATTTATAAAACTTACCAATAAATAATCATAAACTAAAATTTCCCAACAGGTAAAAACATGATGGTAGATGGGCAATGGGAAGCACTGATAAAGTGGTATGAGGACAAGCTCTTAATAAACACACCACCCATCATGCCTAAAGTTTATGAGGAACATCCTATAGCTATTATTGAGGTCAGTAAGGAAAGAGTTGACGAGGAGAGTGAGGACGAGGAAAAGGGTAAGAACGACGAGGTCCAAAGGGATGAGAAGACGAATACAGGTCAGACGGCCGGACGAGTGGATGAGCAAAATGCAATAATAGCTACCACTCTCAAATCAGGTAATTCAAAACCCCAAATTAAAAAAATTGAACATANGAAGAGTAAGAACGACGAGGTCCAAAGGGATGAGAAGACGAATACAGGTCAGACGGCCGGACGAGTGGATGAGCAAAATGCAATAATAGCTAACACTCTCAAATCAGGTAATTCAAAACCCCAAATTAAAAAAATTGAACATATAGAAACGAAAGTTACGATAAAATCACCTGTAAAAGTTCACTCAAATGATCTGACGAAAACTAAAATTAATGAGAAACAAAATGCATTTCCAGTACAAGACAGACTTGAACAAGTATGTGCAAAACTGGATTCGGTCACCAATGTACTTCTAAAAATAACTAAATTACAAACTAACACGGGTACATTTTTAATGGAAGCGATAAAAGAAGTTAAAAAGGAAGTACAGGTGGGACGGAATGAGAGAAAGGATAGAATTCAGAACATTGAAGAGAATATGGAGAAGTTGTTGACTTGGGCTGACGATCAGGGCGAGAAGGTAAGCGAAGAGACTGATCAACCCAAAAAGGGCGATGAGAATGATATGGATAAGGAACTGAATGAAAGAATTCAGGAGTTGTTTAAAAGAAAAGAAATGTACCAAAAAGATGAAAATACCAAAACCAGCAATGCTGAATTGGTTAATGAAGCAATTAAATACAATCTATTAGACAAGGGGCCATCAGTAAAACGTGATTATAAACTTGATAAAAATACTAGGTATGAACATTTTCATGACTACTTTTACTCAGAAGTAAGATCTCATAAACTCTCACACATTATTGACAGTAAAGTTAAATTCAATGGTGATCCGAAGATTCTGGATGAGCATAAATTCAAAGTGAGAGATATTTTGATAAATCACATTGATAAAGAATATCATGTTAAAGTTGTAACAATTCAAGATCCAGTAGCAATTTTAAACAAACTCAAAGAAATTAAGAAATATGAAAATAATATCTCTTCGGCTACTGTAAGACTGGAAATAACAAGTATGAGATACGATAAAAATAAATCAACTGCTGTAAACTTTTGCAATAAATTTGAAGAAGCTATTCGTAATTATGAAAATTCACCTGATGGTACCCCGTTGTCTGAGGAAGAGAAAAGAGACGCGTTCAACAATGCAATTATTAAGTTAGTACCAATGGTACAACTATTACAGTCAACAGCAAAAATTAAAAACGAACCTCCTCCGACGTATGACCAATTAACTACTGTTATGAGACAAGAAGAGGCAATAAGGAAACAGGACGAGCCAAGTAGCACAGAGGTGAGAACAGCAAAACTGGCATCCAAAGATACTAGATGCTACGAGTGTGGCGAATTCGGTCATCTCGGACGAGAATGCCCTGGACGCGGACAAGGGAAATTGTGCTATTTGTGCAAAGAGTTCGGTCATACCAGACGAGAATGTCCGAAATCAGGTGAGACTTTTAAACCAAGAAACTATACTAGAAATATCAGTTCGAGGGGACGAGGTTTTCATGGATCTGGGAGAACATATAATTCGTTGAAAAGAAAATCAAACGGTCAGATTGAAACTGGGAATTCTAAAAGGGGTAAATTTTACAATCAGACAAGCAGAGGAAATTTCAAGTATACTAAACCCAGAACTACTCCTAAAGTCAGTCAGGAAGAATCAGGGAAATCTTCAACATCTGACAACAAAGAACAGGGTAAGTGAATAATGAAAAATTCAATAAATGATAAGTCACGCGAGGGTCAGGCAATGTTGGTGGGCGAGAGTGATCAGAGAAGCAAATTTATCATTAAGTTTCTAGCAGACTCCGGTGCCACAGAGCACTTATCAAACTCAAAATTAATATTCAAATCTATTGACGAGCAAACTAAAGGAGTAATTAAATGCGCTAATAAAAATGAAAACGCGGACTTGAAAACGGAGGGAGTCGGTCAGGTGGAAATCCAATTGTTAAATGGCAAGAAATTTGTGATAGACGAGGTTATATTTGCAGATGCTCTTCAAGCCAACTTATTGTCATTAAGACGCTTCGCTGAAATGGGACTTGGGATTTATCTGGATGACAAAAGAATTGACATATTTAATCCAGAGTCGAATGAATTGTTTATCTCTGGAGTATATGAGAAGCCATATTGGATTGTTGATTTAGAAATAAATAAATTTAGTGATGTCAATAAACAATTTCAGAAAAATACAATCAGACGAGTTATAGCTAATATGGTGGGAGGTCAGACAGAGATAAGAAAATACATGACTCGTAGTGTCACGGCAAGGCTTGACGAGGTAGCTTCAGACAAGGAAAATCAAATTGAAAGTAACGAACAAATTGTAGAATCAGTAACTGACGAGTTAGAAACTGGACAATCCGAAATAGAACAAAAAGAAGTAATTTTCAATGAAGAAAACTCAAAAACAACTACTGATCCAATTATGATATCAAACTTTGACTTTTCAATCTGCGACAGAAAAATAAATAATGCAGATGAAGCCAGAAACTGCGAAAGTGACGAGAAAGTTGATATGTTTGTGACAGAAAATGATAAAATTAAAAACATAAATCAAAAAGCATTGCTGTGGCACGCGAGGTTTGGTCATGCCTCGATAGCATATCTAAAGGCCATACAATCTAAATTTCCAAATAACAAAGAATTAAGAGAAGTAGTATTTGACGAGTCCCTAATGGATTATGAGGTTTGCTTAGTATCTAAATTCAACAGATTACCATTCTCAAAGATAAGGAGTCGAGCCACTGAACCTTTACAAATTATACACTCGGACGTAATGGGGCGAATATCTCCAATTACATATCCGAAAGGATACAGGTTCATATCAGTCTTCATTGATGATAAATCGAGATTTGCTATGGCATACCCGATGAAAGCGAAAAGCGAAACAGGTCAGTGTTTTGAAATGTTTGTCAGGAGTTGTAGGAATTTGTTAGGTTACGACGCGAAAGTCTGTTATCTAAGGTCTGATCAAGGTACAGAATTTACCGGAGGACATACGGTTGAAGTATTAAAAAGTTTAGGTGCGGAATTACAATTAGGAAGTCCAGACACTCCTGAACATAATGGTGTCTCAGAAAGATACAATCAGACAATCCAGAAGAAGGTCCGTACGTACATATTTGACGCGAAACTACCCGAAAATATGTGGGATCTGGCTCTGTCTGCTGCGGTATATGCGTACAATCGAACCCCTCACAAATCTAATGATATGAAAACGCCATTAGAAGAGTTTGCACCCACACACAGCTATGATATTAATCAAATAAAAAGATTCGGTTGCTTGGCATATATGAAAGTTCAGAGAAAAGTAGGACCTAAATTCAGGGCAATGGGTGTAAGGGGTATTCTAGTTGGCTACACACCCACAGGGTACATATTGCTTAAACCCGAAGAGGGTAAATTCTATGAAAGTAGACATGTCAGGTTTAATGAGAAAAAGGTCTATGGTGATAGATACAACAGGGGCGAAATCAGAGATATCCCGGAGGTTCAAGAGACAGTAAATAAAGAGGATTGGTTTGTAAGCATAGATAAGAGTTCTGTAGACCGTGAAGAGACATTAAAATCGGAGGGAGTTGTGAAGAGAAAAAGAGGCAGGCCGAGAAAGGAAACTCCAACAACAGAATCAGAAGAAATCAATAAAACCCCTAGTGATTTAGTGCGGGATTCAAATCTTACAACGCTACTAATTGACACGAACTTAACCTCCGGATTATTTCTGGCATGTTTATCACAGCGTGAGGGTGAGTTAGGTCTGGGCAATTCTACTGCTGAGGTTTGTCATGCTCTTCTAGCTAAAATCAATAAAGATCCAATCAATTTTAAAGAAGCAATGCAAGATACAGAGAAGAATAACTGGACAGAAGCGATAAATGAAGAATTAAATTCCATGAGTAAAAACGAAGTTTGGAAAATCGTAGACAGACCGATCTCCAATGAAAATGGTCAGAAAGCTAATATAATTGACTCGAGATGGATTTTTAAACGCAAGTTAGAAGCAACAGGGAAGACTCGTTATAAAGCTAGGTTGGTTATTCGAGGTTTTAAAGACTTAAACGTATACGAACTGAGAGAAACCTATGCTCCAGTATCTAGAATTAATCTGGTTAGGGCAGTGTTCGCGATTATTAATAAGTATGACTTGGATACATGTCAATTAGACGTTAAAACAGCATTCTTAAATGGAGAAATTGACGAGGAAATTTATATGGAAATCCCTGAAGGGACTCCACATTCTGACTTAGACAGAGATACTAAAGTGTGTAAACTAGAAAAGGCCCTCTATGGACTTCGAATAAGTCCCAAGCGTTGGAATATGAAATTTACAGAAATAGCTTTCAGAGTAGGACTAGTAAATTCGAATTTGGAGCCCTGTTTGTTTACTTGGAGTCAAGAGAATGGGTTTTTAATTCTGTCACTGTATGTGGATGATATTATTATGGCTAGTAATGATAAGATCAAGTTGGAAGAGGTTAAAACAGCCTTAAGTTCAGCATTTGAAATGACTATCCTGGGTGAGCCAAAAGAATTCTTAAATATCTCGATCAAAAGAGATAGAGAAAACAGGATATTAAAGTTGAGTCAGGAAAAATATATTCAGAAGTTATTGATTAAATATGGATTTGAAGATTCACATCCTCAAAGAACTCCAATGTTAACTACACAGGCATCTAATCAGGAACGTAAACTGAGAGAGTCTGATCTTGCAGGAGAAGTTTACAGTGTGAAAATGAATTGTCCATACCGAGAAGTAGTAGGTAGCTTGTTATATCTAGCAGGAACAACAAGACCTGACATTTCCTATGCGGTCAATGTATTGAGCAGACACCAGGTGAATCCGACAGATGAAGATTGGAAAATGGTGAAAAGAGTACTAAGGTATTTAAAAGGTACCACTGCCCTAGGTTTGAGATATGCTGGTGAGACTGACGTAATAGAAGCATATTCGGATGCTAGCTTTGCTGATTGCAAGGAATCATTGACTACATGTGGTTATGTAATTAAACTGTTTGGTGATTCGATCATTTGAAGAACTAACAAACAGTCATATGTAGCTTTATCGACGTGCCAAGCTGAATATGTAGCGATGAGCGAAGCGAGCCAAGAAATGTTGTCCATGTACAACTCTCTAAAATTAATACTAACACCCCAACTGCCTATGACATTATGGTGCGATAATAAGGCAGCGACGAGTAGTATTGAAATCAGTGGGGGAAATAAATTGAGACACATAATAGATGTCAAAGCACACCATATTAAAGAGTGTGTGAAACTCAATTTCATCAAAGTTAACTGGATTAATTCTAGAGATCAATTGGCTGACGTGTTTACAAAACCTCTGGCGTTTGAGCTACACAAACGACAAGTTGACAAAATATTGAATGTAAATATCTAATCTTATGTTTTATTG